TTTTGCTTTCTGTTGTAGAATGGGACTATCTGTTGTAAAGACAACAAGTATGGCTTCTCCCTTACAGAAAGCAGTTTTAAAGCCATCACAGCAGATATCACGGAAGTCAGCAGAGCAGGCTGGTGCTTCAGTGTTCAGACGGGGATATGATGGCTTGGGGGGACACACTAAATTCCTAGCACCAACAAGACCAGTTAAAACAGCATCACGTAAAGTAGCAAGACCTACGGGAATATCTAAGTTCGTTAAACAAACAAAGTTCAGCCGGCCTGCAGATCCTCCACTTCCAGTTATGGATTTAGACTTCACTTGAGAATCGTATTTACACAATATTACTGGTCCTGTGGATTTTGTTCTCTTCTGAAAGACCATTATTTCAACAAAATAGAAAGATGCATCCTTAAATTTGACAATATGAATTGCAATCTCGTAATTTGGATCCGTTTCATTAAGTCCAGGAAGATATTTATTATTTACGGCAAAAATCTACGTGTAACTAAGTATAAAATTATATTTGACAAAACATGGACAGCCCAATTCCATAGGCATATGGAAATATGCTGATGTGTCTCAAAATCTAAAGAGCCTTTGATATTTGTCGTTGATTTTGTTGTAGCGTACATTCAGTATACAGGCTTTCCGTTTCTTATTTCCCCCACCTCATAGATCTTTACGAAAGCTATACCTAGTTTTTAGTCGAGCTTCATGCAAAGATAAATATTCCTATTTTTAGCCTGCGGACACAGACGTATTTCCAGTGGGGAGTAGTGACGACCGAAAATACGTCTGTTTCTGCAGGCTACTGATGTTTGTAACATGATGGAGAATACTGCAAAACGATGCAAACTTTGAGTAATGGGTGGCAGCTAAATTTGCTAACTGCCAAATGAATCAAATCAGTTGGAGTACTAAAAATCACCTTGCTGTTGCCTTGAATGAATGAACCTCTTTGTAAAGATGGTAAATAGCAATGAAGATGAATAAAGTTGTTTAACTATTCCAGTCGCCATACAGTTTGTGACTACTACGCATTAAGTCAACATTTTTATTCTCGTTTCAAGACATTTGGTGGTGTTCTTTCCACGTTTGTATCTGATTCACAAGGCGACAAAAATCCCGTGTGAGCTCCCCCTAAAACCTTCTAGTATCGTTAGGGGGCTTGGAGACGAGCATTGTGATTGCCGGGACGAGGACTGGTTTTCACTGTAGCCTGAAATTCATCCGATTGCTTCGAGTCGTTTTCTCCTGTCAACAACTGAGGGAGTAATAACGACTCGAAGTAATCGGATGAAATTCAGGCTAGTTTTCACTGGAGCCTACTCCGCTTTTCAATCTATCCCTTCCCATCCCTCGCTGGTTCATAAGGGCTCTAACGATTCTGACATGTTCTGCCCAGTACCACTCGGACTAAGTATCCCTCGCTCTTGGCCCTCAGTTTCTGGAATATCCCAAGCATGGGTGATGAACAGGAAAATAACTGGTATTTGGGATCGACCTGCTCTGATTTTAAAGGTCCAAAATAGAACGAATGATAACAAGGGATTCTGGGCGAATTACGCAAAACTTCGCACAGACAAAATGCACCAACTACTAGTATGGTTGGTTTGTTCTTGGACTAAAATAGACATCGGTTTCAAGGCGCAAAATATTTTCCATGGTATCTGTGTTTTAACTTTATACAATAACATAACCTTAACCTCTGCACTGGCCCCCGCCTGGGTTATTATACTTTGAAATGAAACTTCACACTAACAGAAAGAGGCTGTGAACAAACTAGCACATGAGTTATGGAGATCTCACTCCGGCATTTCCATAGTTTGCGCTTTTTTGGTGAAAATGATTGCATCAAGTTTGCAGTGAGTCATAAGTTGTCTTACAGGTTCACGAAGTAAAAGTTAACGTCGTGCTCCACTGCACAAGTTGTTTATGAGTTCGATTTTTTGTTGTGTAAAACAAGAATTTACATGTCAATACAATAAACGTAGGAAAGTCGTTAACGCTCCATCTTTGTTGTAGTGAATATTGATTGATTGAACGGAAGTCAATCTATACTGCTCCCAAAAAAAATCGCATTTATTTCATTTCGCACATTCATTTTTATTGAAAAACAAAATCTGTTGTTGTTATTATCATCATTTTTTGCACTATAGACATTTTCTTTCGCTGACAGGAAATTAATGTTCCCTATTTTACAATTCTCATCTGAGTATAATACGACCCTCTGATGAGTCATGACAACCATTACATTGCTTATAAGTCATAGTATCTAACGCATAAGTCACCAAAAAACTGTCCTAAAACGTCTCTTACTTTCAACATTAAAACGTAATTTTTAGCGACCAGCAGTCAGTTTTGTATTGGTAAAAAGACTTCAAAGTCTTTAAAAGCTTTCCTCTCTGGATCGTTGAAGGGCAGATGTGAGAGTAAATGCAGACACGGTGCTCTGTACTTCACTTATTTTTTAAAATCTCTTCCCATTTGTTGGACAGAAGAGTTTCTATGTGAAAACCTCTTTTCTCTAATGTATTTACTTTGGTACAGGGCATAATATTTGATTCACTCTTCCAAACATCGGTTCCAGGCATTTTCAATTCGTCGCTCTTTTCCGATGAATTCTCGTTTGACCATTTTTCCTTTGTAGAATGACTAATTTCTCTATTTCTTCTCGAAGTTCTTTTTCGCTTATAATCACCCCGACTAAAGTCATCATAGTTGACAGGGTTGATGGTCCAGAAGTGTCCTTTGCCATTGGGAGACCGACCCACTTTAACAAAGCAATCATTCAGTGATAAGTTATGGCGTATGGAGTTCCGCCATCCCGGTCCCTTGTTTCTGAAGTACGGATAATGCGTCAGAATATAGTTGTAGATGTCACCCAGTACAAGTTTCTGTTGTGGAGAGCTGAGAATTGCTTTTCCAATGAGACCAATGTATGACTGAGTTGGTTTCTCGTTATCTGTGTTGTAGTAGGACATTCCATGCAGAGCTGGGTGATGACATTGGCTCATATAACCCGGCAATACTGTTAGGATATCTTTATCGCGGTAAAATGAATACCGGTACATCTCTAGACTGATATACTGACCGGCAGAAGAATGATACGGGTAATGAAAGACTGGACTGACAGTAGCTGTACTTGGCAGATAAAAACCGGCCGAAGTCATGTTCGGGAATAGGTTCTCTAACGGGTTCAAAAATAGAGACCGTGATGGTTTGCTCTGTACACTATGTGCGCAGAGATGTGAATGAATCTGACAAAAGAGAACAAGCCGTGATATTGACTTGGAAAGGAATGTTTTTACGTAATTGATTGATTGCTCTTTGTTCTTCACAAACACTGAAAGCCTAGTATTGCCATAACTTCATTTACAGTTTTCAATGCCCATATGAAAAAACGTTCGTGTTGGCTAAGATGGTAAAGTAGCTGTTGCTATCAAAAACGTAAGATTCGAGAGTTTTCCTGGCCAAAAGAGAATTATAAATGCAAGGTAATTATTATTTTTCTTATACTAAGAGCTAATTATTTGTAATTAGCACCACGCCTTGTGTTTGGCTTTTCTTTAAATGTTGTTTGTTGGAAAGGAACAAATCACAGCAGGTAGAAAATAGCTTTTACTTAAAAGGAACAATCACTTTTCAATCCCTAGAGACAACAGCACGCTCTCTTCTGGAAAGGCTAATCGAAAAAAAGAAAACTAAAAATCTCGCCAGAAAAATATTTTGAACGCTGCCAAAAAGGTTAAAAGTTTAGAAGTTATCAAGTAAAAATCCACTAATACAAAGTGTTAGTACAACACTCCACAACACGCCTTATTCTTGTTTGGTTTTTAAATCCTCCATTGATGTGGCACTTTATGGGTATATTGTTTGACTTTAAAACTAATGCTATAGCCTTATTGTTTCTTAATGGAAGGCTTAGACAAAGAGAGATGATTAGCCTGATTCTAAACAAAAGAACTATTTAATGTTTGGTCCAGATTTAGAGTTTATTACTGAACTGAGGATCCCTATAAGGGAAATATTTTTCTTTGCTTGATAGGAAATAAACTCTTAAAGTGTCAGCCAGTGAGCACTAAAGTTGAATAATTATCCAGTGAACATTTTCACAGCTAATTGAGCATTAAGGAGGGTGAATGACTTTGAGATAAAACGGAAACTGAAGGGAAGTTGACGTAGTGAGCTTTGTATTCAGCGTTAAGAATGAGCGATTGTATAACAATGAACTTTATGTAAACGTATATGGCGTGTGATTGAACGAACATGTTTGATTAAACAGGAAACTCCATTATCCACTTGATGCCTTTTGAGATATTTATTTGTAATCAGTTGTTAGATTGATGAATTAAGAAAACCAAAGAAAATGACATAAGCAAAAAGTAAAGTTGCGCAAATGGTTGACACTGTCTTGGTTAGTAGTCCCGGCTCTACAACCTTGCATTCTTTACCAAAACCTATTTTTTCAAGATAGACATTGAATGCACGCGCGCATTACCCAAAGTCGTTCATTCTAACATGCCAAATTGTTTTGAATACAAACAGAGGTCAAGTTTTAGCAACATTGTTTATGGAACAACGCAGTTGTTATGGAAAACACTAACGTTACTGATTACCCTGAGTGTCCAGTCGTTTCTCTTTCCTTCTCATCCCGGAGTATATTTACTCTTTCATTTTACGTCTCTAAGTGAACAGCTGTTTTTGCTAAAGTTTTCTGCAACGAACCCGACGAACGCACAAAATGGACGTAGTTATGGCAGTAATGTTTTCTGTCAATCGTTTCTTCGATTTCTAGTAAAACAATTGCAAGAGAGAGAGGGCAATTAAAGACAAAAATAAGATATCTCATGTAGTGTTTTAGTTGTCTAAGAGCTATAACTTATGAAGTCAATTATTTATTTAACTACCAGCAATATTAGCTGCTGCTGTCAACGAAGGAAAACTACTTCTACTACTACTACTACTACTACTACTACTACTACTACTACTACTACTACTACTACTACTACTACTACTACTACTACTACTACTACTACTACTACTACTACTACTACTACTACTACTACTACTACTACTGCTGCTGCTGCTGCTGCTGCTGCTGCTGCTGCTACTACTGCTACTACTAATAATAATGATAATAATAATAAGTTGTATGAGAGCCTTCCTAACTCCTTCCAATAAGCCATGGAGGGCGGGCTTAGGTGCAGCTTTATTTAGATCAAAATAGAATTCATCTTCTCTTGTTTAAACTTGTTAAATTTGAAAAAGAAAAAACCGGAAAAAGGAACATAGTATATTCACTATTGTGTATCCTAAAGATGATAATTTCATTCTTGTCATTCTTATTATAACCTGGTGCAAAAATACTTCTGAACAGTGTGTGAAAAAGTTTCCCTATTAAAAAACATTATAAAAACTGTTCTTTCTGCCGAATATTAATTATTTAATGTCTAATCGCGATCTTCCTTTGTTCCTACTTAAAGTTTAATTACGATCGATTGCCCGACGTTTCAATTTTATCCTAGATGCCAACATTGTCATCCTGTTGTTAGGAAAAGTAAATAAAGAGTAACAAGATCAAGTATGTGTAAATTGAATATATTATCATAAACGGTATGCAATATGAACAATTTGTTGTGAGTTGGGATTTAAGGAAGAGACGATTTCAACTTACCAAATGATAACTTCCGAAATAAAACGTGTAACACCAAAGAGCCTCTCAGAATTTCGAAGTCTTACAAGAGGAAACAGTATGAGTGAATTGTGTTATGTCAGTAACAAACAGCAAACGAGTGTAGGTCATGTCAGGGTGCAGTATCTATTGAGGGAGTTTTCAGTGCCGCATGTGTTCTGAGCTTGCTCAGACTGATCGTCAGACTCGAATGCTCGATTGCTATTGAGCTAAGGAACAGCTTCCCAAGGTAACTGTTGCTCAGTTGTGTAGAATACAGTTTTAAGCTTCCCGTCCAGTACACACTGATGAGTCAAGCAGTGTCAGGGTTTTCTTTTGAGCAGCATGTTATTACCTCAGTGGAGCAGACGTGCAGGATTGGTTTTGGTTTTTGATGGTGCGCACTTTGATGTAGAGCGTTACGTACGCAAAAATAAGAGAAATTAACAATTCAGTTTCCCATGATTGATTTTGTCAATTTTTTTCCAGAGGAGTGCACCGCAAATAAAACCTGATTGTTACAGCATGCCTAAAAGTAATTTCTTAAATTTGATGGGAACTATACGATTTTGTGGAATTAAAACAATCAATTTGGACCATTTATTGCTTATTGTCCTCTAAATGGAATGAATTTTTAGATATAAAGCAATGAAGTATTTACCTCCGAGCTTTTTCAAAAGACAATACCACGACTTATCTCTCACACTATAAAGTTCCTTTCCCCATTAAAGTCATTCTAAAACAGATCAGTTCGTCCCAGCAAAACAGAACAGCAGCTCACACGATCATGTTTTTACAAAACCACTGCGGGTTTACTAGAATACGTAATCAGTAGTGCAAAAGGCTAAGCTTAAACCACTGAGAGTTCAATCTTTTTGTTTCTTTTTTTTTTTTTTTTTACATCATTCCTTCGCGGCGACTAGACCGTCTGCCCCTCGCAAGGAGTGATTACCTCTCTATTTGTATTTCTCTTTCTCTTTTTAAATTCAACTTGTGATCTTCACCTTTTTTCATCTTTTAGCAATTTCGAAATTGCTCCTTTGAAGGTCGTGGTTTCTATGGACAAATGCTCAATGAATAACTCGTTGAAAAGCAATAATCGAACTAACGATCGCTTTCACTGAGGACTGATGAATCAGTCATTCAAACAAACAAACAAACAAATGCTGAAAACTCGTAATTTCTTGTCACTAAACGTTAGACCAGTCCTGTAATAATAAATAAACAACTAGTTAATATATGGTTTACGAAGCTTGAGTAACATTGATAAAATCAAACAACCTCTTTTGTTAAGTTTCTTGCAATTTCAAGACTTTAAAAATCTTGTACTGTTTCTCAAAGGAGGTAGAATTTGGGGTACATAATGGTGGATTTTAGGAATCAAACATTCTAAATGGATGACTTTTATCTTTATAGCTAAGATTGATGGGGAAATTTTTCTCAAAGTGTACAGTATTTTTGAAAGGCATACGGTTTCTTCTCTTGCTGCCTATTCATACTCTTTGTCCCTTGTTTCCATGGTAACGGTAGTATTCGGTAAAACCATTGCATTCGCACCTTCCTACCATACAACGTCTTGAATGTTTGATTTTATGGCATGTTAAGTGAAGATATATTTACATATGAAAAGAACAGATTTGAACTAAAAGTCGTTAGCACTGCATCCTGATTAGTTTCGTAAATATGGGAAATCGTAGCAATATTACGGCAACTTACAGTCCATTAGTCATCGTATGTGTTTTTCCCACGCAATAAATATCAGATATTTGTTTTACTTTTCCATCTTGAAATGTTTGTTATTAAACAGTTATAGCTTATAATAGTGCTACTGTTTTCATTTTCAAACAAGTAAGTAAATTATAGTGATTTAAGTTCTTGTAAATACCAAAGGGAAATTCAAACTCCATTGTCCTGCTCTCGCCGGATCTAAACACCAGTATTTTCTGCTACTCTGATTACTTGTAAACGTTAACCCGCAACAACTAGTTACACTTTCGAACGTACTCCAGTGATGACGCATACTCTATAAAAGTTTTGATTGTGTTTGGTTACTTTAGAATCTGTACTAACCAACGTTCTATCCCGGCTGATGCTTTAGCTCCACACGTCACTTTTTCTTTTACCATGACTAGAGTGTATTCCTTCCGTTTCTGAGTTGTTTCGCTTTTTTTCTGTATGTTGGCCTGTTTTTAACCTATTGTAGCTAATTGGACAAAAGAGTTTCTATATGAAAGCCTTTTTTTTGTGACTCACTGGTACCGCGTTCAATGTTCAAATGCATTTTTCTCGATTCATAGTAGCCTATGTCTCTTCTTCTCTCATCTTTTCCTGCATGTTTTTCTTTCGAGCATCTTTCTGTCGAAGAATTCAGTTCCCCATTTCTCCTCGAAGCTCTTTTTCGCTTATAATCACCCCGACTGAAGTCATCATAGTTGACAGGGTTGATGGCCCAAAAGTGTCCTTTGCCATTGGGAGACCGACCCACTTTAACAAAGCAATCATTCAGTGATAAGTTATGGCGTATGGAGTTCCGCCATCCCGGTCCCTTGTTTCTGAAGTAAGGATAATGCGTCAGAATATAGTTGTAGATGTCACCCAGTACAAGTTTCTGTTGTGGAGAGCTGAGAATCGCTTTTCCAATGAGACCAATGTATGACTGAGTTGGTTTCTCGTTATCTGTGTTGTAGTAGGACATTCCATGCAGAGCTGGGTGATGACATTGGCTCATATAACCCGGCAATACTGTTAGGATATCCTTATCGCGGGGGTGAAATGAATGCATCTCTGGACTGATATACTGACCGGCTACAAAATGATACGGGTAATGTAAAACAGGACTGACCGTAGCTGTACTTGGACCATAAAACCTAACTGAAGACATAGTATTCAAAGGAAGGAATCTGGCCTGTAAAGGTTCTACCACGGACGCTTTTAGATCTCTGCTGTTCATAACTAACAACTTGCCAATTGCCGTGTGACTCGTGTGTACATTAGAATATAAATGAATATAGCACGAGTAACAAGTTTTGATATTGGCTTGTAGCATAAATCAGGTTGTTACGTAAACGATCAATGGACGTGCATCTATAACCAATGTAACATGCCAATGTTAAATCGCCAACGATTTCACATGTTCATTCAAGTTGTCATCAAAGAAAATAAGAACACTTTTGAGTCGTCTAAAACGAACTGGATTCATGATTTCTAATGTAGAAAGCTGTATCTCAAAGTTTTCCTTTTCTCTTTCCAAACAGCTAATTATTTGTAATTAGCACCCACGCCCTGTGTTTAGCTTTTCTTTAAAAGTTGTTTCTCGGGAGGAGCTAATCACAGCTGAAAACACTGGTTCCATTTTTTCAATTATAAAAAAATCCACTTAATTAATCCCTTAAGACAACACTTTTAACTCCATTGTAGCAGCCAAACAACTTTACAGAAAATCTAAAAACAACAGAAAACACAAGCGAGGAACTCACTGGGGTAATCGTGGCTGGTAATAAAACAGCATTGTCCTGTGTGTTGATGCGATAGCAACCATCTGTATCCATGTACGGAGCGTACGTCATAATGATTTACATACGCGCATTTGTGTTCTTTCTTGTAAAAAAGACTATAATCATCTACCTGCCTGCATTTTCCTTTTTGAAGTGTTATTTGTTATATATTGTTTGCCTTCCACGCTAATGCTGGCGTTATTGTTTTCTAATGAAGAATTATTACAAAAGCATCCATTCTTCTGATTGAAATCTAAACAATCCGCTTGTTGGCCTCTTGTTTGACGTTCGTAAAGTTAACTCCACAACAAAGTAGTAGGGTGATAGATCAAGATGTTTTTTTTAAAATCAATTTTTACTTGTGTTCGCGAAGTTCACAACCAAACATGCGGTGGAACTGCCATTGTTTTTCTTATGAACTCAAAACAAACGTTTGAATTAACATTAGTGATAACAAGAAATATAATCATATCAGACTTAAACAGTAATAAATATGAAAGATTGCTTCACAAAACACGTCTCAAATCGCTCGTTCTGGAATAACTTTCCTTGTTCGGGGAACAGCAAATTAGAAAACGCAATTTTAATCCTTGGACCAAAGTACTTTGTTACTTTTCTCCATCTACATGTATTACAAACTTGCAGAAACCAAACTTAGTAAAGAGCTCTTTTCTGCAACACTATTACACATTAATAAGTTTAATTCGTTTTATATAGCCGCTTTACAATGTAGGTATTTTTACTGCATGCTATAACTTTCAGGCGCGGATCCACACCGGTTTCCACCGTTTTACGAAAATCGGTCAGAGTTTTAATAGATAAATAAATTTTCGTGAAAAAACTTTACAAGTTAAAATCCGGCCAATATCCTGACTGAATGACTCAGAAACCCAGGAAAAGCTACTTTGGGTAGTAAAAAAAAAAATTATTCACGGGGTGCATGCCTCGGACCCCCCTAGAAGCTTACGCCCTCGACGCTCGTTTTGGAAAACGGTCAGTATTTATCCTAGATCCGCGCCTGACTTTCTACTTAGTCATCTCTGATTTGTGGTGTTTCATTTTTTTCTTTTACCAAGATAACACCTCATATCATATTTAGTTGAACGAAGCCCAGTTTGACCAGTTGCATGATGTCTGTGACAGGGAAGCGAAGAGTACGCAGGAGACATGTCATACACACGAACCTTCTATCCATGACCCACCTCGCCACGGGTCCCTCCTAGCTAAGTAGTTACAGCATTCTACTAGTGTACGGAAGTTCGTGTCCGAGATTTTTTCGTTGTCCCGTGCTCGTGACATGTTGATCACATTATTTCTCAAGAAACAAGTAGATACACTGAGCTGGTGCGAGCTCAAAAATTTGAAAAAAAGCCGGTTAAAACGTCTTCAACATTTCCAGAACAAACGGAAATATTGAGACAATGATGAGCAGAGTTTAAATGAGTTCAAACTTTTTTCATCATGTCCCAACATCTCACCATTAAATCGAAAGAGAGCTCAAAATCGGCTGTCAACGAAAGTTAAGACAACGTAGGGCCATCACGTGACCTTAATGTCGACGGCAATGTTGTAGGGGTGGGTAACAACAGTCTTACGATGCGGAGAGTTAATTCAGGATGCTGAATGAAGAGGTTTTAATATAAATGAAATCAAACAGACTGAAACTGACATCAGCCAACACCGTTACAAAGGATTGTATTTTTATTTCTATTGTTGTCACTATCACCCAAAATGAAAACACATGGTAAAACATTCGTAAATTCCTTATGTTTGGTTGGTCACACCGAAAGCGGTCGACAATTCAATTCTCTACGCAACCGAAAAATTCTTCGCAAGCGTTTTTCATAATAAGATTAGCTAAGAATCGCGATAACGAAATGTACTGTGAAAGACTCTCAAATTTTCAACCAACGAAGGACTTCCTCAATTCTCTAGGCCTTCAACAAAGAAACCTCGAAACGAGATTGAAGCTACAATTAATGGTCTAAGTTACCATTTTGATTTAAAAAACCTGTCGCAGGTACTCTCATTCACCTTTACGTGTATAACGACTGTTACAAGCAGTAATCTAAAGTGCATTGCAACAAGAAAGGAAACAAAAACTAAATAAAAATTGCGGGGTGACATTAACATAAAAAATTGAAATAACCGAAGGTTAAAACATCATTTTTGCTGAAAAACGAGAAATAAAAACGAAATCCTCTTCTTGCGATTTTCATGCGTTTTGTCATCTCCTGGGCCAGTTCTGTTTCTGATTGCCTCGCCTAAAATACAAAAACACAAAATATCAATCATTCCCACTGTTTTATGGATCTTCAGGCCAATGACGACATATGTGAAATGTTCGACGGGCGACGTTTTGGCCAGCGGTTAAACTTGAATGTGGAATTTGATTGGCTTAAGATTGGAAGTTGCACCACGCTATATTCTCGACACTGCGCTAACTGAATTACAAGGAGCAGCTCTACTACAGAAGTAGAAGGAGTTTCCACTTGTGCAGTGGAAATCTGACTGACAATGTATACATTAAATGCAATTTTATTTGAACTTTTAAAAAAAAAATTAAAAATAAAATAAATGTCAGTAACCAAGACATCAGTGGTCATGACCATGACAAGACTTACTTGTTTGAAGAAAACGTTAGATTTCTCTGCCCTGATTTCATATGTACTTTAGACCTTTGGCCTTTGGACTGCTACAGAGAGGTAATAAAAGAGCTGGTTAGGAAGCAAATAACGAATGTAGGTTTACTGATGTTTGTAGAGAAATCTTCTAAGAGAACCAAGGGAAAGATGTGTATCTAATGAAGACTGATAGATGAAGAAAGATAAACCGCGGATACTTCAAGCCACAATGCAAGGTCAGAAACAATCGATTCCCCAGGGAAAAGACCAATTGAAGGATAAAGCAAAGACAAATGAAAAGAGACGAGGACAGTTATGTTATCGATCTTGCAAAATGCCGTACAAATTCTAGAAGATTTACTTCACTGTCCTCAACAATTTTTTTGCCCATCAGTTATTTCACGGGTACAACCTGATAAGACTTTACTAAAATGGACATCAAAGGTACACCTACATCTATAGCTAGGCAAACCAAAGCAACAGTGATGGAGAAAGCATCATGGAAGTTATTGGATAAGAGATGGTTTAGAAGAGGTTCCTGGAGCTGTAACTACCGCCCGCCTGACTGAAAATAATCGATTCCAACAACCTTATTCAGAAGTGAATAGAGATTTTTGGCCAAAAAAGNAATGAAAAGAGACGAGGACAGTTATGTTATCGATCTTGCAAAATGCCGTACAAATTCTAGAAGATTTACTTCACTGTCCTCAACAATTTTTTTGCCCATCAGTTATTTCACGGGTACAACCTGATAAGACTTTACTAAAATGGACATCAAAGGTACACCTACATCTATAGCTAGGCAAACCAAAGCAACAGTGATGGAGAAAGCATCATGGAAGTTATTGGATAAGAGATGGTTTAGAAGAGGTTCCTGGAGCTGTAACTACCGCCCGCCTGACTGAAAATAATCGATTCCAACAACCTTATTCAGAAGTGAATAGAGATTTTTGGCCAAAAAAGCTATTCTCGACTAAACATTTCACACAGAACAGTCAGTATCTTACTTTAGAGTTGTGTGATGATCTGTACGGATCAAATACAATTGGCTTGTCTTTGGTTTGTTTCTCAATTCCACCTAAAGGAAAAAAAGAAAATGGAACATGAATGTATAATTTGAAACTTGAAAATCTATCTCTTCCTTTAAAGAGATTAAGATATACCGTTTTCGACTTGCGGGTACATGACTCTAAGTTACCTCGTTTGAAGTCAGATTAATAAATTAAACGCGCGCAGGCGCCCATGTCACATACCCCGAAATTGCTTTGCGCGGTGCAGGGATTTTCATACGAGTAAGAAATATGAATTCACGTCTGGATGACAAACGTCCTCAAATTTAAAGAGGTTTACAGAAAAGTGAAAATTTCATCTGTTTTTGTAAAAAACTTTCGAGTCTACGATCCAAAAACGTCTGCTGCAGGTCCTGAGCGTTCCGTCCTTTTTAACAGCAATACTAGCTAACGCTGTAAAAAAACCCTCCTAAACAAGAACTTGTTTCTTTGTAAGTCAATCCAATCCTACATATGATACCGAAACAGATGAGACCCTTACTTGAGAACGTTGAATAATCAGCTTCAGAGTATTTAAACGGTACAAAGGTTGAATTCTCTGCCACCTCTCTGTTTTGAGAGGACGAAGAAGAGGAGCCGGCTTCATACGATTCACGTTTTCTTCTTTTTGCAGAGGACTGTCCAGGAGTCTACAGGTTGAGAAAAGAAGACACAAAATATTAAGATTGCTTCTCATTGGGATTTGGAAATCCATCAAACCTAACATCTTAGAATTTCGCTGCAGGCTCGTGTGGACATAGGCCGCGTAAACAGTGATTTTTT